GCCACAAGTCTATTCGTGGAATTTTCTGACGGCTCTCACCTGTGCTTTCAACAACCCCCGCCCTGTTGTTGAGCATTCGCGAAGTCTATCCGGTACCACACGAAACTTCCTGGAATTTTCTGACGGCTCTCACCTGGTGCTCCAACAACCGCGCCCTGTTGTTGAGCCACACGGCAAGATCTGGGTGGTCAGGGCCTAGAGTCTTCTCCCCAATCTCAACAGCTCGCAGATTGAGAGGGTCGGCTTCCTCGTACTTGCCCTGAAACACGGTCGACGGCGTGGCAGGGTAATTGTTCAATAAAAGCCGGATCTAGAACTGGGAAAAAACATTCCTTTCTAGATTCCCTTCTAGAAGCATCTGGAAACATCGTTTGGCTCTCACCTGTGCCTCCAACAACCCCGCCCTGTTGTTGAGCGACTGAGCAACATCCGGATGCTCCGGACCCAGCACCTTCTCTCGGATGGTCTGTGACCGCTCATTCAGCGGTTCAGCGTCGTCGTACTTGCCCTGCATAGCAAGCAGTGGGATATTTGAGAGAGCGGTTCTGCAAAAACTAAACAGATTCATCGACAAATGCAGACCCTACGAAAATTCCTAGAAAATTCTAGGGGCTCTCACCTGCGCTCTCAACAACTCCGCCCTGTTGCTGAGCAGCTGCAACAGTTACCGGGCGCCACAAGAAATTTCCTGCAGAATTCTGACGGCTCTCACCTGTGCTCTCAACAACCCCGCCCTGTTGTTGAGCACTCCTGAGTCTATCGGGTACCACAAGAAACTTCCTGGAATTCGTATGGTTCTCACCTGACTCTCCAACAACAGCGCCCGGTTGTTGAGTGGTGTGGCCAGACTCGGGTGCTCGGCGCCTAGAACTTTCTCTTTGATCGCCTGACACCGCGCATAGAGTGGTTCAGCTTCGGAGTACTTGCCCTGAAGTACGAGGGAAAAACACGACGGGGGCAAGTTTGTCAAAACTGTGAATAGAGTATAATGCGGAGTAGCACTTGCTCAACAACCCCGCCCGGTTGTTGAGCCGCACGGCAAGATCTGGATGCTCTGGGCCCAACGCCTTGTCTCCGATAGCGATAGCTCGTACGTACAACGGTTCCGCGTCGTCATACTTGCCCTGGAATGTGACGAAAAGAGAGAGAAGTTCCATTGGTGACACTGCTGCATGTGCGGGAGCACGAATGCCTGCACGACACCCGGATCCTCCAAGTCCAAAACGTACCCTCGTTGGCTTGTGACCGTTCACACAGGATTTACTGTGCCATAGTACAACCAACATGACCTTCATTGTATGGCATTTCGTGCCGCATTTTAAAATGCATATGATAGTCTGTATAACATAGGCAGTAGTATCGCGATACCATATCCTTCACCACACAATAGACCCCCCCCGCCCTCGCGACCAATCTAGACTTAAGTGGGTTGGCGCTGTTGGCAAAGCGCTGTAAAACACGCCACCCCAAATATAGCCCCCATAGTATGCGCTACCAAAGACGCTCTACCTGTTTGCTCTCACCTGCGCTCTCAACAACTCCGCCCTGTTGTTGAGCGACTGGGCCACGTCCGGATGATCAGGCCCGTGAACTTTCTCGAGAATGGCAAGGGAACGGTCATACAGCGGCCCGGCTTGGTCATACTTGCCCTGAAATATAAGGAAAGGCACGACAGGAAGAAGTGTTGTCAAAGCTAGTAGGTACTTCAATGCGGAGGAACAAATGCTCAACAACCGCACCCAGTTGTTGAGAGCTGTAGCGACATCCGGATGATCAGGACCGTACACTTTCTCATCGATAGCCAGAGAGCGCTTGTATAAAGGCTCGGCTTCGTCGTACTTGCCCTGAAACATGAAGGAAAGGCACGACAAGTCAAAGCTAGTAGATACTTCAATGCGGAGGAACAAATGCTCAACAACCCTGTTGTTGAGCGACTGGGCCACATCCGGATGCTCTGGTCCCAGCATCTTCTCTCGTATGGCTTGCGATCGTTCATAGAGTGGCTCTGCTTCAGCATACTTGCCCTGCATTGCAAGCAGCAAGCTTTGTGAGGGAGCGCTCCGCCAAGAACTGAATCACATCACCGACAACCCTGGACCTCACAAAGTTTCCTGGAATTTTCTGACGGCATCTGCAGCAGTTACCGGGCGCCACAAGATATTTCCTGGAATACTCTGACGGCTCTCACCTGGTCCGCCCTGTTGTTGAGCAACTGCAAGTTTACTTGTACACCACAAGAAATTTCCTGGAAAATTCTGACGGTTCTCACCTGATCCTGCAACAACCCCGCCCGGTTGTTGAGTCTCGTGGCAAGATCTGGGTGGTCAGGGCCGAGAGTCTTCTCCCCAATCTCAACAGCTCGCAGATAGAGAGGGTAAAACATTCCTTTCTAGATTCCCTTCTAGAAGCATCTGGAAACATCGTTTGGCTCTCACCTGTGCCTCCAACAACCCCGCCCGGTTGTTGAGCGTTGTGGCTAGACTTGGGTGCTCAGAGCCCAGCACCTTCTCCTTTATCGCCTGACACCGCTCATAGAGTGGCTCAGCCTCGGAGTATTTACCCTGAATGCAATGGACAGCATGGTTGAGTCGTATTTCAGTGTGAGAATCGAAAACTGGAGTGCGGAGGAACATTCTTCAACAACCCCGCCCCTGTTGCTGAGCAGCTGAAGTTACCGGGCGCCACAAGAAATTTCCTGCAGAATTCTGACGGCTCTCACCTGTGCTCTCAACAACACCGCCCTGTTGTTGAGCGTTGTGGCTAGACTTGGGTGATCAGGGCCTAGAACCTTCTCCTTTATCGCCTGGCACCGCTCATAGAGGGGCTCAGCTTCCGAGTATTTGCCCTGCATGCAGTGGACAGCGTGGTAGAGTCGTATTTCAGCTTGAGAATCGAAAGTGAGATTGCGGAGAAACATTTCCTCAACAACCCCGCCCGGTTGTTGAGCGCTGTTGCCACCAGTGGGTGCTCGGGACCCAACGCTGTCTCCCAAATAAGAAGTGTGGTCAATGCTAGCGGGGATTGACAACGGGCGAACAATTGCTCAACAACCCCGCCCGCCCGGTTGTTGAGCACTGTTGCCACCGCAGGATGATCAGGCCCGTGTACCTTCTCGCGAATGGCAAGGGAACGTTTATACAGCGGCTCGGCTTGGTCGTACTTGCCCTGGATGTGATGCAAAGGGTGGAAGGAATGTGCTGAGTATGGTAAGCGGATGAACGAATGCTCAACAACCCCGCCCGGAGGAACATTCTACAACCGCGCCCCCGGTTGTTGAGCGCTGTTGCCACTGTCGGGTGCTCAGGGCCTAAGGCTTTGATCCAAATCTCCGTCGCTCGTTCGTTCAGGGGCACAGCCTCGGCATAGTTGCCCTGTAGAGAAATTTCGGGTGCGAAGTAAGAGTTGGAGTCTTCGCCACACTACTATCGATATGTGAGCAGACAACCGCGAGAAACATCCCCGAAAAATCCCTCGACTCTCACCTGTGCTCTCAACAACTCCGCCCGGTTGTTGAGCACTACAGCGTGCATTGAGCACCATGAGAAGCTTCCTGCAGTGATCCTATGGCTCTCACCTGCTTGTGCAACAACGCCGCCCGGTTGTTGAGCGACTGAGCAACATCCAGATGCTCCGGACCCAACACCTTCTCTCGGATGGCCTGTGACCGCTCATACAGCGGTTCAGCGTCGTCGTACTTGCCCTGCATAGCAAGCAGTGGGATATTTGAGAGAGCGGTTCTGCAAAAACCAAACAGATTCATCGACAAATGCAGACCCAACGAAAATTCCTACAACATTCTGGTGGCTCTCACCAGCAACCTCAACAACTCCCAAATCCTGATGGCCCTATCGTACAGCGGGCCGGCCTCATCTAACTTGGCCTGGAAGGAGACAGAAAGGTGAGTCTGTGCGTGACCAAGGCGAGCATCGTTCGGAGCATGACATTCTCAACAACACGCGGAACGAAAAAAAGCGCCCACAACCCAACCCGCGCGGTTGATGAGTCTCAACGACGAAGGCTGAGTGTCAGGGTACTTCTTATGTGTAATATCTGATCAGATTATTTTTGATCAATAATGATCTAGGTGTCACATCCGGCTTCTTAGGCTACTTATTATGTGTCATTTTCGCCAGATTATTTTTGATCAATAATGATCTACATGTCATAAGAAGCCGGATGTGACACCTAGATCATTATTGATCAAAAATAATCTGGCGAAAATGACACATAATAAGTAGCCTCAGGGTAGAGATTCCCCCGTGTCAAAAATGCGAACGTAAAGAGGGTTAGACTTTGCAAATGCTGCCACTAAGTACCTTTCCGGCCCCGCCCAACATTCACATGCAAATGACAAGACTCTCTCTTCCTCCGCCGCCAGCTACGCGTTGGTGAATACCGATACATCTCCATGACAACGTTCTTCGAATGAGGTTCAACTGGCTGCTCTTCGTAAAAGCCCTGAGAAATATCCTTCGGCTTCAAATGCACCTCCAAAAACCACAACGACCAAGAGGCCCGAGCCTACCTCGAGTTGAAGCAATCGCCCCACAGCTGAGAAGGCGTCCGCGGCGCCTGTTGATTCGTCGTCGCCGAGCTCCCCGAGACTGGCGTCGTAGGCTTCCACCTCCAACTGCTTGTTGCCACAAAGCTCTGCCAGTTTTCGCCACAGGACGATGAGGGAGTAAAAGCCTTCAAGGGACTCACCCTCGGCTTCATAGCCCCGGAGCACAGCCAGCCTGCCCAGGAATTGGCTTTGGCGTTCCACGGCCTCGTCGATGATCTCCTTCTCGCACCTAGTCCGAGCGAAGTCCAACAGAAGGTCGTGCACGCGAAAGGAGCCATCCACCTCTTGCAGAAGAGAGTTGCTCACGAAGAAGTCAGCTTCGTTCCTGGCACCCATGTTGTCCTGAAAAGGTTCGAACAAAGTACTCCGTTACCGATATGCTGCCTCGAAGCTCAGAGGAAATTCATCGTCCACGAGTATTCAACCAACCGGTGCCCTCCTCTTGAAATACACTTCTTGCGGAAACTTGCCATTCTCCACCACTGTGTGGCCTGCAAACCCTCTGAGATACCCTCGTGAGGGGTCTGGAACTTTGCGGTTTACAACATCTCCGGGGAAACTCAAAGGTTGAGGATACATGAAAGCGCTAGGCGGGATCTTTCGAAAAACATTATGGCACATCATCACTGTTGCACCACCTGCAACGTCGGGCCTTCGCGGCATCGACGAGCGTGAATTCGAAACGTCATGCGGCCATGTCGTGCGTTCTATATCGCAGCGTTGAATATTAAAAGTCAATTTTCCACAGTACGGCACAGGGTCATGGGTACTGGTGAAATACCGAAAAAAGGTTTGGGGTCAACCGACCTTCGACGAGCAACGGACAACGTGCGGTCCTTCGGCGTGTCTTTGATTGTACATGGCCCAGTGCCATTTCGAAGAACTTGTGTCTTTGTTCGCATTTCACGCAGCTCCGTGCAAGCAAGATGGAGGAACTCCTCCACTTGCGGATTGGACTTTTCAGAAACTCACCCCTGAGCATTGTCACAACTTAAGAAACATGAATTATCTCATTATTGTCACACCAAAGGGAAACTGAAGGGGGAAGGGGGGGTGGGCATCGATTCTCCCAAAATCAAAGTCGTGACACAAAAAATGGAAAAAGAAAGTGGGGAGATACAAAAAAGCACGGGTCTCTCTCTAGTCCGGAACCCGCTTTTCTGACGTCTGACGACGGCAACCATTCAACTGAATACCACTCTTTACCACAAACGCCGCATCCGACCTGAAGAGAGCGCCGTCCGTGGCCTAAAAATCACCACCCTGGGGCCAAATTGTCAAAACAAAAGAACCCCTGGGTACAGGGGGTTGAAAAATGGCCCCTCCAGAGAGGAAAATTAACTCCTACTCTGGCCGATGGGGGGTCCGAGGGGAACTCCACGGAGGCACATTATTCCTGGTTATTTTAATCTAACGCTTTTCGGCCTATTTCCCTGTTCCCGGTGGGGGCTGACTCATGTCCATTCTACGATATTGCACACTTGATCACGAAGGCCCACCTTATCAGATGCTGGCAAGCATAGTGACCGGGGCCGAAACGCCAGGGGCGAGCACGACCAGGCTAAGTAGAAGGCGCTGCTCATCTTCCCCGAGAGACTCCAGGCTCAAATCCAGCACGGGGAACAACGATTTCTTGGTCAAGTCGTCCCCGCGTTCAGCGTTCATCTGCGGGCCTCGGGCTGTCTTTCTCTTTTTCGCAATCTCTGAGGCTAGTTGGCGCCAGGTTGAAGCAGAGTTTGGGTGTTCCTTGACAGACCGCAGCGACCCTGCGATGGCGACGGTCAACGCGTGCCACCCACAGGCCGCGGCAACCTGCGATGGCACAGAAACATCAAGGTGAGCTGACGAGATCGGGATGAAAACAGTTTCTTATGGACAAACTACTCATGTACAATGGGAATACCTAGAGCTGACCGATTGGTGACGCTTTACACCACAACCCCACCTGGTCAGCCTCCGTCTCCGGAAGTGTAATGGCACCGCTCTTGCTTTTCAGCAGCTCTCGGGCCTCCCCCGTGGCCATGTTCCCAACGACAGTGCGTCCCCCTCTCACAGCCACCACCGAATCCAGACGGGTGGTCACGAGCAGCCGGAGCCCCGTGGGTCGCAAGATGTCCACGACCGCACGTTCCCATACATCATCCAGGACCACCAGGCGAGGCAGCTTGTCCTCTGCAACGAGGACAGTCAAGTGCTGGATGATTTCCTCCAGGCTGTTGAATCGTTGCGGTAGCTTCGCCTCAGGAATTGCCAGCCTCGCCAAACCCTCAAAGAGCGCTTGAAGCTGGTCCTCACCCCCCGGCCCCACCCTCAGCCAAAAAGCGCCTGCGCGAAAGTGCTTCCGGACCTCCTCGGTCCGAACTACGGAAGATGCCAGCAACGACTTGCCCGCTCCCCCCATGCCCAGCAGTACATACGGAGCACCGGACGCGTCGGTAGCCGTGAGACTCTTGAGGATCTCGGCCTCCAGTCCTACACGCTTCACGTGGCTAGGCGGCAGCTTCAGCGCCGCAGCAGGGACGTCGGCCATGTCTGGTAAAGGGAGAGGCCGCGAGCGTTCCTCCATCCTTGTCACAATCTCCTGGATGTCCAGAACGGCAAGCCCCTGGATGTCGGTCCAAAAGCGGCGGAGTTTGTCGTCAAAGCTAGCCATCATTTTGGCGTCTTTCTTGTGGCAAAGGAACGCCATGCACTTGCTTCTCCCCGCCACGACATTCGCACGTTTCGCCAACTCGCCGGTTGTGGCGACGAACTCGTTCAGTGGCTTGTTGACCGCCTTCAGATTGTCCACTTGCTTGCCGTGCTCGATGAGTACACCGACGAGGAACGCGCACCAAGTGACCAATTCCCGCAGGTTCTCGACTACCTCCATAGCGCCTTGTGCAGCCTCGATGAGAGCCGTGAATGCCTGGCAGACAGGTGTGAGAGGGCCAACACTCGCAACATCCAGCAAGCCCACGGCCGTTGAAGCCATCCATTCTAGCGCATCCCTGGCACCCTCCGGGCAGTTGTCCCACTCACCGTGGACATCCACTCCGGCGCAGAGAAACGCAGGCCATGGCTTCTTGTACGCGAGAAGCGTCTCGACCTCCTCAAGCCTCTGCGGGAAACGAGCCGTGTTACGAGACTTGTGAGAAGTTCGACATGATCGGCTGCATCCGCGGCGCTACTGGAACGGCAATTCCATAAGCATAACTCACAAACGGAGGGCAAGTCCAAAAATGAGCTAACGTGCCCACCTCTGGCGTTGTTGGCGCCGCAGCTGCTCCCGCTTGAACACTGCTACCACTGGAGGGAGCTCGGGCTGCCATGGGTGCCGTAGACACGCAGAAAGCACCTGGTTGACATAGCAGTCCCGGAAGAAGTTGGGGCCATTACGAAGAGTGGAAACTCGCCACCTCTACGAAAAGGTTCAATACACGAAGATGGAGAGGACACAAAAATTCAGCTGCGAATGTTGCCGTGAGATTTCGCGATTTCAACGATACTCGAGCGACTCTGGGAAAATCAAGTTCAGTGTTATTCCGAGTCTTTCGTGACGTGTGTACAACAATGTAGAGACAAAACGATTCGTCTCAGAGACGGGATTCTGACTCTCATGCCACAAGGACAAAGTCGATACTTCTTACATGGACGGACGACGAACCTAATCGTTGAAACAAGCCAATTGCCCCTCGAGGGCAAAACCGCCAGGTCAGACTAAAGAGAATCTTGCTTCAGATGGGGGACACGACGCAGGGACTGCACGACAGAATGCTAGCTTCTCTGGGACTCTCTTCTCGCTACAAATCACGAAGGAAGTAGCCGCCGTTGCTTGGCACGGGGTGAACACTGCGGCGGACCCCGGCTTACCCGTTGTTCGATGTCATGGCTTGTCCCGAAACGCCAAAAAAAGAGGATCACTCACACTGATGTAAACCAAACTTGCTTGAACCCAGCCTCGACGATAGGGTGTTAAGCACCGTATACCATGGGATGGCATACTCAACAAAGCAGTGGCCTACTGCGACTCGCGAACAACGCCCTCCACGGACAATCCAAAAGGGGATGCACAAACGTTCTGTCGTAAGGTACGCCAGCCGCACGCCAGATGCTAACAACAGCTGCTTGAGTCTAAGGCCAGATTTCTGCAAGAATGTACAAAGGTTTGGCACAGGCACGATCGGAGGCTCTCGCCGGCTCTCACCTGGTGGCACGCTCTACAGCGCGGTGGAGATATGTGTCCTTGAGTACAAAGGCACGCTTCCTGCCTTTTTGGCTCCTGTGTATCGTGAGAGCATAGAAGAGGGACCTATCAAACGAAAACAATATTGGTGAAGTTCCTGCTACATGATGGGGGCACCAAATACTGAATTGGCCGAGGCGCTCTTCGGACGCTGTTGAACGGTGCTACACCGCCACGATCATAAAATCCTGCCGAACCCGCGTTCGTGAACGCCGAAGTTGTGGAAAAATAAGATTTCGGTGCAAGAAGAAAAAGGGTTGCACAGAAGAACGCCAAACTTCGGCAGAAAATAAAAAATAAGGTGGGAAAGCATCCAAACTAGCTTGTCAGGTCAGGCACAGACCCTATCTGGGAAGGCAGCTCACCTTTGTCGCGAATCTGTCCGATGTGCGCCAGGCGCAAACTACAAATGCGCGACCACAAAGGAAAGGGCCGTGTGGAAGACCGCAACAGATAATTCCTCCGGTCTCCCTCGTCTGCGGGCGCGCTCGATATGCAGGCGCAGGAGCGGTACATACACGGCGATGTTGGAAACCGCCGCTACTGAGCACAGGGCGCACACTGACCACCTGTGCTGGTTGCGTGCGGTGTGTGTCGAACTGAAGATGAAATGCGGGTCTCACTGCGAACTGCGGGTTGGTGGCCCCGTGAATTCTTCGGACGACGTGGGTGCCTACCGATTTTACCAGTGTTTTCAGGCGGACAAAGACTTCTCGAAAAGCGGCGTTCTGTTCTAGACTTCAAGGCTTCAAGGCCAGAACCCTGCTGAGTGGAGAAGACCGGCACCACTCAATTGCACGTTTCTCTTCCATCCCATCGGCCCCCAGTGTAAAAGATTCGCGCACACTGCTCTCGGGAAAGAAGCATTTCCCTGGGAATTGGGTAGTTGGAGGCTCAACTTGTGGGAGCGACCGCTGGTGATTGCTCAGGCCCCTACACCTTCTGTCATGCATCGATCAGTCTGGGTGGACGGCTACAGAGGTGAGCGGTATGGGCGTGCGTGGAGACTGTCGGGAATCAAGCGACGATCGACCACTTGCGAGCTGTGTTATTACCCAAGTTGGAGCATCTTGTATTGCCTAAGACGTCCTTCGACAATATCTGGTATGTGGAGATCGGCAGGACAACTCGTGTCGCGCACGTGTAGCGGCGGGCGTCAACGAAAATGGCGTGCGTGGAGACTGTCGGGAATCAAGCGACGATCGACCACTTGCGAGCTGTGTTATTACCCAAGTTGGAGCATCTTGTATTGCCTAAGACGTCCTTCGACAATATCTGGTATGTGGAGATCGGCAGGACAACTCGTGTCGCGCACGTGTAGCGGCGGGCGTCAACGAAAATGGCGTGCGTGGAGACTGTCGGGAATCAAGCGACGATCGACCACTTGCGAGCTGTGTTGTTACCCAAGTTGGAGCATCTTGTACTCCATAAGACATCCTTCGACAATATCCAGATGCAAGGTTCCATTTAGTACTGTATAGTATTTATATTCCAGTATCGAAACCCGTACTGAACCGCCAGTACCAGTACAGTTGTTGTTGTTGTTTCTCACATTAGCTCTCAAAAAAAAAAAGATGGGAGCCCGTGGTCTCAAAACCCGGCATACACGACCCCACGAAGAAACAGAAAAAAATAGGGTACAAAAACCACTCGGAAGAGAAACAAAATGATAGAAAGACCAGCTACCGCACCAAACGAGAAAGAGCGTCGAGGAGACCGATCAAAATAAAATAAAAGGAGAACGGGGAACGCTTCCCACACCCGCCTACAACGCCGGAGGGTTCCGTGC